GGCCCGCGGGCCATCCCGGGAATTACCGGGATGGCCCGAGCTGCAAAAAAACGGGCAGCATTCCCTTCCCCCGCAGCCCCCCCTGGGGTGGCGGGTGGTGAGGTTTCGGAGCCGCCCCATTTCCTGGACGGCTCCCAGGGCCTCGCCCTGCGCGAAGCGTCGTCAGGGGGCCGGGCGTTACTGATAACCGCCCGTGGGTAGCCCTACACAGTCGGGCACCCCCCTCGACTTCGCTGGGCCACCCGCGCAGCCCCGGGAGCCTACCGCCGGGTAACCGGTCGGTCACGGGCCCCGGAGCCGCAGCGAGCGTGCCCGTGTACGTGGGTGCTTAATCGGGTGCCAGGTGCCAGACAGGTGCCAGACAGGTGCCAGACAGGTGCCAGACAGGTGCCAGACAGGTGCCAGACAGGTGCCAGACAGGTCGCGGCGGCAAATGAACACCTCTCTCTGAGGTGGGAGTGCCCAACTCCCGCCACAACACAGCTGAGAGGATCGAGAATCTACGTTTGAGGAAGGTTGCTCTAGGAGGTTTCGACGCCAAACTGCATCAGAGTGCAGTTTCAGGTCTCACAGTAGCATCGCTGCAGCCGATTTTAAGGCCAGAAAATTTGCGAGGGAGGAATCGCAACAGGATGCAGTTCTGAGGCTGCGGAGTTGTGGAGTGTAACAACGTGGAACTCCACAACTCCGCAGCCTCAGAACTGCATCCTGTTGCGATTCCGATTACGAGCAAATTTTCTGGCCTTAAAATCGGCTGCAGCGATGCTACTGTGAGACCTGAAACTGCACTCTGATGCAGTTTGGCGTCGAAACCTCCTAGAGCAACCTTCCTCAAACGTAGATTCTCGATCCTCTCAGCTGTGTTGTGGCGGGAGTTGGGCACTCCCACCTCAGAGAGAGTGGGAAGGTTCTCCGGCAACATCGAGGAAAACCACAAGTGAGGTAGGCGCCAAGGAGGTAGTGCAGCACAGTGCAGCTCTGGCACATCCGGCGTCCCGGCGGCATCGGCGGGCCGCACGTGTTCTGGGGCGGCGCAGATGAGCACACTGCCATGCACCAGCCAACACTCAACACGGTGAGTAGCGCAGCGCACGATGTCCCTGCTCAACCATGTGGCCGAGCCTTTCCATCGAACTCTGGGTCCGGGGGCCGGCCCCGCTGCCGCTGCTTCCCGATTCCCGCCAGCGCCGCCAACAATAACACCGTTGCCGTTGCCCTACATGCAGAAGAGTCAGAAGAGGAGCTTCTCCGTGAGAGTCGTTGTCGCAGAAGAGCAGCAGCAGCAGCAGCAGCAGAAGTGCATCGGCCTTGATGACGACTATGGCGGCAGTGGCTACCATCATGTTCTTCTGGAATGCTTCAGTGGGATGACACCCGGAACGAGATAAACCTGCTGCAAAGAGCCGATCGGGTTAAAGCCGGGGGCACCCAAAAAAATGGGGTGGTGGGCAGTCAGGTCGAAGGTGGGCAGTCAGGTCGAAGGTCATCGAAGGCCGTCTTGGCACCAGTTCCACATGAGCAGGTCGATCGCTCCGAAAAGTGCTGAAAACACAGGCGGGGGACACACCTGGAGGAGATAAAACAGGGCCCGCGGTGGACAAGCGAAATGGGCCTGCCGTGGAGAGCCGCTCGGAGTCGACGCCGGGGGTGCCCACAAAAATGGGGCGTTGCAAAAAAAATGGGGTGCGGCATGGTGTTTAAGGGCCATGGGGTTCCAAATGCGAGCGGGTCGGCAGAGTAGCTTCTTCATTTTTGCAGTCAGGTCGAAGGCTCGAAGGTCATCGAAGGCCGTCTTGGCACCAGTTCCGCATGAGCAGGTTGATCGCTCCGAAAAGTGCTTCAAACACAAGTGAGGGCCACACCTGGAAGGAGATAAAACAGGGCCCATGGTGGACAAGCGAAACGCGGAGGGCTGATCAGGCCTCATGATGGAGTTGCCGAAAATTTGGGGTGCGGCATGGTGTTTAAGGGCCATGGGGTTCGCAATGCGAGCAGGTCGGTAGAGTACCTGTTTCATTTGTACTCATGCACTGGTTGCTGGGCTATCAGGTCGAAGGCTCGAAGGTCATCGAAGACTGTCTTGGCACCAGTTCCGCATGAGCAGGTCGATCGCTCCGGAAACTGCTTAAAACACAGGCCGGGGACACACCTGGAAGGATATAAAGCAGGGCCCGTGGTGGACAAGCGAAATGGGTTAAAGAGCTGATCGGGGCCGGGGTCGGTCGATTCCGTTGACTGTGGTGATGCTGGGTGTGCCCTGGTGCGCGGCGTGGTGTTTAAGGGCCTCCAAATTTCCAAATGTGAGCGGGGCAGCAGAGGCAGCAGAGTACCTTTGAATCTTTATGATTCATGAACCCATGAATCCGTGAATCATGAATCATGAATCTGATGAATCTGATTCATCATCATGAGTCATGAATGTCATGAATCATGAATCGTGAATTGTCGTGCGTTGTCAATTTCTCAATGGTCAATGATGCATGCACTGCATGATTGAGTCATGTCTTCAGTCTTCATGATTCATATTCATGACTTCATGTCATGAATTCATGACATGGACACGGACATGGCGACGGCGACGGTCAGACGGACGGTCACCGCATCGTCAATTCAAATTTATTAGTCATAGTCATAGTCATAGTCATTAGTCATAGTCATAGTCATAACTGACTGAGTCTAACTTACAGTCTAACTGAGTCATAACGGTCCGCGGTCAGCGGTCAACGGTCAACAACGGTTAACGGCGAACGGTCAACGGTTAACGATCCGTCAGAATCAGAATATGAGAGTGAGTGACTGACTCGGACTCTCAGTCATGATTATAATGATAATAGTCATAGTCAGTTAGAGTCATAGTCATAGTCATAGTCATAGTCAGAGTCTGTCAGAGTCAGGTCAGAGTCATAGTCATGAGTCATAATGTCATACTCATAGTTACAGTTACAGTTACAGTGACAGTCACAGTCAGAGTCACAGTCATAGTTAGACAGTACGAATCGCGAGTCATCATGAGTCATGACTCACGACTCACGACTCACAGACTCAGACTCAGAACTCACGTCACGTCGCGACTCACGACTCACGACTCACTGACTCACTGACTCACTGACTCACTAACACTAACTGACTACTCATTGCTCATATTATCATGATCATAAGTCATATTATCATACTGCTATCATACATGCATACATTTTACTCACGTGACTCACGTGATTGGACACGTGATTCACGTGATCAGTGATCACGTGACTCATGTGACACATGTGACTCATGTTACTATGATATTAAAATCATTAAATTAACAATATTATGTAAGTAACCGAGAACCCCAATTCTTAAAATTGAATTAACTTAATACTTACTTACATACTTACACTGACAGTTACATTTCCTCATGAGTCCTCAGTCCTCATGTCGTCGTCCTCATGTTACATGAGTTTCTGAGTTTCATGAGGTTACATGTTACTGTCATAAACAAAACTGTGACTGTGACTGTGACTGTGGTGCAGTGGTGCGGTGCATTTAAATTTACATGGTTACCGAGTACGAGACCAGGAGCATGGTCAATTGGGAATGCGACTGCAAATGGCATCTCCCAACGGATTACGTGGAGAGATTCAATCTGATGATGCCATCGGATGTGTGGCAGCAGGTGTGGCAGATCATGTGCGAAGGAATTGAGTTTGGACAACGAACTCTTGGGTGCAAGTTGGACCCAGGACAACCTGCCTTTATGGTGGGATCTTGCATGAGTTTTAAGTTTGATGTCAGAGATCGACCGGTGTGTTGTTTGTTTCGCTTTGGTGGCGAGTACGCACCAAGGGAATGTGGCCAGGGCATCCCCTTAGTGTTGAAGTGCCGAGCTGTGCTTGGACTTTGGATCTTTGGCATGAACCCTCAGCAAAATGCGGGGGGTGGAAGATCGTAGCTGATCATTGATGGTTTTGTCATGTTTTGGATCAGCTTGTATAGTTTTGTTTTGCTTCGGAGTGATTGGGAATCTTTGTGATCCCATCCTCGATGTTTTACCTCGATGATTTCCCTAGGAAATCATGCGAGAGTATGTTTTTGCCCAATACGCTACTTTGAGTGAGTGTGCAGTGTGTAGGAACTTTGTTCTGAAGCTGAGCTTGAGCTCACATGTGAATTCGTTTAGTTTGCGCACTTCGTGACTTTTGGCTCAGGGCCTGCGAGTGAAAAAGAGTGTGTCCGCACTTGGTTGAGATAGGTTTGGGTTCGTGCTTTCAAGGGAAAAGGTACCAGAGGGACCTTCGACTTTTCACGACGCGGGCTCTGACGCCGGCTCAGGAGTAACATTGGGGTAACGCGGGGTCAGGAGTAACATTGGGGTAACGCTGGATCAGAGTTCCTTTGAGTTGCATCCGTAAGCTGCAAAGGCCTCCAAGGTCTGTGTCGAAATCGTTTGTCCCAGCACAACGGCTCGGCACAGCGAGAACTTACAGCAGCTCCATCGTTGGGTAACTGCTGCCTCTGCAGCCACGGCAATCGCAGGAGTCAGAGGGTGGCGATATTAGACCACGCGGAGAGTACACAAAGCCAAACTCATAGTACGTCGCCCTCGTGTATCCATCGGAGCTGTGCTGCAAAGCATTGGTTGGTTGGATTCCTTTCACCTTTAGCAGCTTTCTATAGCATGCACATGCACACACATTGCCGTTCAATTTAACAGTTCTTACCACCGGTATTGTGTCTGATGTTGAACTTTGTTTTACAAAACATGTTGTTTTGTGGCACAGGAGTCGAATCTTGGACACATGACACTATTAGACCGGCCCGAGTCACGTTGATGTCAGTGTGCAGTTTAAGACTTATTCTGCTTTTTCTGCAACACATGGAACAACTTTGCGCTTGCGCAGTTTGTGAAAGAGATTGAAAGAGAAGACCTTTGGGTATGGGGGATGGACAAGTTGCTTTTCCTTGCTTCAGCCACGCGGTTCTCTCCTGCCGACATCCTTGCTAACGCCTGCTAACGAGTCATGCAGCTTTCCATGGAATGCTGCGTTGGAGCGCCTTTGCTTGCACTGCCTACCGTGAAAGACGTAAGCTTTGACATGCTTGCATGCTTAGCGATGTTCCTATTCTTGTGGATGATCTTCAGCGCGGACTCTGTCAATCAAGCCAGTAACCAAACACATCCCAGATGTCTCACATGTTGTAGTTGTGCAGATGTCGTTGATGTTGATCAAAGGGTTGAGTAGTTGATCTTCGATGTTGGAGCACCGAGGCCACACAGGAAGAGCATGAAGAGCAGGTTCGTTTGTGAAGCGTGCTTGTCAAACCAGACTCAGCACGAGACTCGTGTGTGTGGCCGATACCGCGTGATTCGAAAGCCATTTAGGAGGACGGTTACTACCGGACGCCAGCGCTTGAAAAGCGGGATGTGGTTGCGCCTATAGTGTGGTGTTGGGCATAATCACGTGACCTTCGGTCCGTTGCAGGGAGCAGCTATTTCGGCCATCAAGACTTTGTCAGCCTGAGCCTTACGCATTTCATGTACAATCTCGCGCATACCTGCTCCTGCGTACAATGCCACAACCTGGTCACTGGTCCCTTCTTGATACCCTACTTATGTCGGTATCGTGTTGTCGTGAGAACACAGGAAGTGACCAGTTTGGGGGTGTTGGTGCATTTAGAGCAATGTTCCAGGGTGGTCCAGACGTGCCGGACGGTTTTTGTTTCGAGTATCTATCAATTGCCTGTCCAGGGTTTCGGGTTTCGGGTTTAAGGTTTACGCTGTGATGGGTCATAGTAGGAGATGGGGTAGAACTACGGCTGGTGGAGCTGGGGTCTTACACATCTTGTTTTTGAACATCCTACAAGCAAATCATCCCCGTGTCAACAAATGGAGCTTTCTTTGTACTAGAAAATGGGCCTCCCATCTAAGGTTCCTCGTGAGATTCAGGTCGCTATTTGAGTTTTCCCCGTTGAGAGCCGATTTAGGGAAACCTTATGTCTTTCGCGCTTCTAGATAGTTGTCCGGTCCCGTAGTGAGGGAAGTGTGAGAACCATTCCGGGGTTGCGCTTACCGTACTTGCAGTCGGTGCTCCAAGGAGATGCATCAACACAGGGCCAATGCCAGGTCTGTAAGCGTGCACGTGCATGTAGGCCTCGAGAGACTTTGCCTGTGGTTTTTTGGTGTCAGTGTCAGTGTCATGCATGAACCAGCCGCCATGATCAAATAAGGCCACCGCGGACGAGCCAAAGCAGACCCCGCCAGATGAGACTGCGCCGGAGCCACAGCAGACAGAGGTGAAGGCGACGATGAACACAGCGCTTGCCAAAGTCCAAGGTGGCTTGGGTCAGATCTCACAGCACGTAAGTGAGAAGACTTCCCGGATCGGTGGCCTGAGTCAGATCTCACAGCATGTGAGTGAGAAGACTGCCCAGATCAAGCAACAGGCAAGCCAGAAAATCAGCTCAGGCCGCTTTGGCAGGTTTACGGCGTGGTTTAAGAGCCTCTTCTGGGAGGAAACCGAGGCCGACGTTTCGGAGATGTTGGCTGAGGTGGAGGAGGCAGCAAAAACGCTGAAGCTCGACGTGGAGGAGCCCGACGAAGGCGAGGAGCCAAGAGATCCTTGGAAGACGATGACGCCATGGCTGAACTTAGCTCACAGGGTTCAGGGTTTAGGGTTAGGATGGGTATCGTTTGGATAAGGTGGTGGATGTAGATGCATAGTCGACATACTTGGGCGCAGCGTCCTTCTGAGTCGGTGCCGGACTTGGAAGGCAGGGGCATGCCGCAAGATACATGACCAGTCCATGGAGGTGTAGGGTTCCGGGTTCAGGGTTCAGGGTTCAGGGTTCAGGGTTCAGGGTTCAGGGTTCAGGGTTCAGTGTTCAGGGTGTAAGGTTTAGGGCTATCTTGAGCATTGTTTGGGTAGGATGGTGAAACTCGCAGATGCTAAGCGTTCTAGTAAATGGCGCAAGTTGCGTGCAGAATCACGCATACCGATATCAACACTTGAACACTTGAGTGGTCCTTGCGGGCGTCCAGAACAGTAGTGTCGTTCTTCTTTGAGAAGTTTATCTGCGGGCCAGTTTTCTTGTGCAAAAAGTCTTCAGACCGGCCCTAAACCCTAAACCCTAAACCCTAAACCCTAAACCCTAAACCCTAAACCCTAAACCCTAAACCCTAAACCCTAAACCCTAAACCCTAAACCTTAAACCCTAAACCCTAAACCCATAACCCATAACCCATAAACCCTAAACCCTAAACCCTACACCCTAAACCCTAAACTTAAACCGCAAACCCCAAACCCTAAAGCTGACACCTCCAAAGATCCTGCAAGGACCGCCGGCGACTTGGAGCGCTTGCAGCGTGTGAAGGGCGTGGATGAGAAGTGCAAGGCAAGGTTGGATGAGGCAGGTGTGCTTTGCTTAACGTTCTGTGAAGGCAGACACTAGATACTCTAGGCTTGCAGAGTTTTTTCAGATCAGAGCGTATCAATCAAGAGCCTTGGCCGAAGGCAACGGACCCGGAGAGATGCTTGGCAGAGTCAGAGTCGAGTTGCTTGCACTTTGTTTTCCGGGCAACCACGACACGTGAACAGTCATAGAGATTTTCAGACAGAACAGTGGTGAAAGCCCCAGATCAGCTGCCTTTGCAAGCTTTCACACGGAACTCCGGAGTCGAAACTTGGCCTTTGCGAGCAATTGCCATGTAACACCTGCAAGTCCATCCCCAAGGCCCCAAGGAGAGTGAGGGTGAGAGGGTTCCGGATGTCGTTTGGAGCGAGTTGGGTGTCAGAGGGGCCCTCGAGGCTTCTTCGCATCGCTGAAGACAGTCTTGCTCAACAAAGAGGAAGGCGAGACCGAGATTGCGAGCTTGCGATGTGCCTGGATAATGTTGGGGAATGCGCAGAACTGGATTTCAAGGATTTTGTCGCACTGAGAATGGTGATTCCTTAGTTTGCCGTTCTAGGGGCCTGCGCCCTATAATTTGGAGGGTGCAGAAATCGTTCACAATACGACTGCACCTCGCGCGTGCACATTACCAACTGTATCTGAGGCGTGGCGTTCGAATGTATGCCGCAGTGGGACGCCCCGATCGATGTGACGTGGGGCAAAGGCCTGCTGCTGTTGACAAAGTTCCCGGACACGAAGAGGCAGTGCTTGCACTTGGCCATGCAGGAGGACATGGCCAAGTTCGAGGGCTCTGAGGAAGGCTCCCTGGCGGCTGTCGGCGTGTACCATGAGAAGGCGATCGGAACTGCCGAAGCTTCCGTGGGGAAGTTTTCCGCCAAAGGCTCCTACACGGCGACTCGCGGCTTCAAGTACTACACCATCCAGCTGGACGTCGAGACCCATGTCGCAGGCATCAGCACAGAAATGTCAGACGTGATGCGCTTGCGCTGCCGCTTCGCCGGAGGGGGTCGCTGGAATGCTTCCAAGCAGGGTGTATGTTGCGGCGGGTGCACCCGTCGCTGCTTGAAGTGTATCCTGTGCTTGCTCCTTGGTGGCATGGAGCAAGATTCGGAAGGGCAACAACATCTTGCATTTACCTCCTTCAGTGGTTTACTCGTCAGGTATTGAGGCTTTGGTGCACTTTATCAGACCAGTTTTGACCTGTCCTGTCGCGATTGGGGCAGGTTGGGGCCAGAAGGGCGCGGGATTGGAGTTTGTGCACCCTAAACCCTAACCCTTATATATTAATTAAAACCTCAACCCTAAACCGTAAACCCTAAACCCTAAACCCTAAACCCCAAACCCCAAACCCTAAACCCTAAACCCTAAACCCTAAACCCTAAACCCTTGACTGACTTCTTGCCCTGTGCCGTGTTTCAGACCGGAGGGCAGGGCCAGACTCACTAAGCGTGCCGCCCTAAAAGTTGATTTGAAATTTTCTACGGACTGCTGGAGCTGATTCCCTTTTCAAACGGTGTAGGGTTTAGGGTTTAGGGTTTAGGGTTTAGGCGTAGGGGTTAGGGGAGCTGAGCATCCCCTCGCTCGACCTTCTGAGACCTCAACGTGCTGCAGGCTGTATTGTCTCTGCTGCTGGTGGTGCAAATGCTGTCGCTGCTGCAAGCTCCGGCTCCGGCACTGCATTTGGGACACTGTAAAGGCTTCTTTCTTGGGTGGCGTCGTCTTCGTGTTGTCATGCAAATGCGCTGCAAGGTTAGAGTCAGAGACGAGAAGTTGCCTGGTCAATGTCCTTTGTTTTCATTGCACAAGGGTTTTGGACACCCGTGCGAATCAAGATACGGAATACCGCCTGGAAAGCCCGCGACAGACAGGGCTGGTAGTTTGACTGCATCTGCAATGACGTAGCAAGGGGCTGGTCAGGTGTCTCGTGGGACTCCAGAGTGAGCATGTGCATGCATCACTCTTTTGCCTAGCGAGGGCCCTAGATCAACGCAAGGCACGTACGATGTCTTCTTCAGCAGCACGGACCGTGTGAAATGTTTTCTTTTCTCCGATTCGTGGTGAAGAGTGTCGATTTTCCCAGCAGTTTGAAAGGACTGTAGTGTGGGGCGTTAGAATCCACTCCCAGCCCTAACACAAACCCAAGCCTTCTTTCCGTTTCCAAGGTGCCGAGACTGTTGCAGGACGTGCTTCTGAAAAGCAAGGGTGCAGGGCCTGCGGATTGAGAAACGTGGTTTAAATCCTAAACCCAAAGCCTGCTGGAGGCAGCCTTCTCCCTTTCTCCTCTTGCATACCCGGCATGACTCGTTGCGGTTTGAATAGCTTCGTTCCCGCTCGGGCGAACCCCTGTCACCATTGCGTCGAGCATGGTTTCCAACTCCAAGGCCGCCTCAGGCCCCTCGCTTGGCCGAATCACTGAAAGGCTTTTGCGAACTTCGGTTCAAAGCCGTCAGGGTTGTGACGGTTGTGAGTTCCCCAAATTGAACTCCTTCCGCGCGTAACTGGACTAAAGTTGGGTCTACCTGCTGACCCCTTGAGCAGGAGTCTTTGTTGGGAAGAAGTTGGTAGGCAAACTCATAGCAGTAAACGGTAGGCCAAGAGGCTGTACCTAAGGATGGCTGATTGCACTATTCGTTCGCGACACATCAAACCATGCTGACAGAAGGCAGCAGCAATTCCGAACGTCTAAGAAGACACGGGGATCTTGGGATAGCTGGGCCTCGATAATTCAATCTTGTGGTGGGCATTTTGTAGTCAAACCCGCGGAAGGCAGTGTCTCCTTGAATCCTCGTAGATCCTGCGCTGCAGCATTCCGGGATGTTGTGATGTTCTGGTGGATGGTTGATGTTGTCCCCTGGTCGCAGGAGGAGCACTGTGACGACGTCGACAGCCGAGTCCAACGAGTGGAAGGGTTCCATGGAGCAGCGCGATCGATTCACCGCGGTGTTGTCCCAAGTATCCCAGGAGAAGCGGGACACGAGCTACACTTTCTCTGGTCGGGAGAATGAGGGCCAGGAGATCTGCGACTTCTCAATGGATCAGATGCACACACTTAGCATCGTTTACCATCTGCCGGCTCAGAGGCCGCAAATCTTCACCGCATGGATCGACCCGTCGCAGGGCGTGAAGCCCCCGAGCTTAAGCAGTGATAAGAAAAAGAACCTGTTTGGGGCTGGGTGACAAGGTTGCTTGTTCGCGGCTCTAGAGCTTCGAAGGCCTATGATGAAGTTGGGCTCCGTACTGTTGCTTTTCCGTTGATGCTATCAGTATCTCTGCATGAACTGATCTCAGAGCAAGTCGGAGAAGTCCTAACCTAAGTCCCATTCTCTTGCCACAAGCACAATGCCTGAGATGGGAGATGTCAGAGGTCAGCTCCATCAACACCCCCCCCCCCCCCCCCCCCCCCCCCCCCCCCCCCTGAAAACAAATGCCGAGGCACGGCGTGAGCTTTGCGAACAAGATCAGGACCAACCCGGATCGCGCCGCGCAGACCTCCGCCATCCAGGGGCCTTCCATCCAGCCCCTTGGGCCCTTGAGAGCTGTAGGAGGGGTTCCCACATCCTCTACTTCAAATGAGAGCTTCCTGCAAGTTCTTGTGGGACCAGCTCAACCTGAAAAGCCTTTATGGTGCCCCTTCCGCCATGAGCGCATGCAACATCTAGCTTGCCATCCAAGGCTTGATGTCATAGTGCACAGTGGAGACCCAAAAGCCTAAATCCTAAGCTCAAACCCCTACAAACCCCTACGCCCTACACCCTGAGGTCCGCTTGGGCGCCGAGTTGGCTCAGCGCTTGGAAAGCACGGTTCCTCTTCCCGAACAAGAGCTCAGCCGGCCAGAGCAACTCATCCTTCCGTGCCTTCCAGCAGGTGGACGCTGGGGTTGCTGAAGATATTCTGAGTGTAGGGTTCCGGTTTGTGGGGTTCGAGATCTAGGTTTAGGTTGTGGGGTTTTGGGAGAACCTGAGAGGGTTTAAACTTAGCAAGCGCAGCCCAGGATAAACAGCGCCAGCTCCTCACACGCAGGCAGAAAGTCTGGATCGCGCTCCTGATTCTCGGGATCGTTGCTATCGGTGTTATCATCTATACACAAAATCAAAATCCGTACTGACCTGAGCTTGAGACGTGCTGCCACCGGCCCACAAAGTGGTTCACCTTGATATGGGGTTTCCGACGCTTAGTATATTCCTTTTTGTGGTCCTTTGTACAAGGGGATCCTACTATTTGGGGGGTCCCCTATTCTCGCAAACCCTCACATGATGCTGTTTTCAAGCATCGGCGGGGGCTTGATTCGTTGACTCCAGGATGGGGGTCTCAGAGGCCGACCGTCCCTCCAAAACTTTCGGAGAAGTCCAAACCTCCTGATTCCGAAGCCGTCAGCAGTGAGGGCTGGGCAGGTTAAGCCAGGAGGGAGATTGCTTCAACTTGTTAAAGGCCATGAAGGCGCACATTTCAAGCCGACAGGAGATCAAACCCAGCTTGGATGTGGGGTTGAGGGTCTATAGAGTCCATAGGGTCTCTGCTAAGCCCTGAGACCCAAGAGGTCAAGCTGTTTTTAGGAAGTTTGCATGGAACACCCTGAACCTTTACTGTCAAGCTGTCGAATGTAGTGGTACAAAACCCTAAACCCTAAACCCTAAACTCTAAACCCCAAACCCTAAAGTTATTCGCGACGGGAAGCAGCGGAATCGTGGAGGCCGCGTTGGCGGTGTGCTGCAGTTAGGGTCCTGGGAGCTCGTGGTGTGGGCAGTTCTGATTTGAGACCTCGACCCTCGCGCATGAAGAGCCTGAAGTGATGTTAGAGTTTAGGGTTTAGGGTTTAGGGTTTAAACCAGGGTTTAGAGATTCCTAAGCATCCAAGTAGCCCAGAACTTTGACGGCTTAAAGCCCTGAGACGCTGAGGTTAGCCAAAGACTGCATCCCCAAAACGGCTTGAAGTCCTTGCAAACTTTAGGGTTTAGGGTTTAGGGTTGAAGGGTTGAAGGGTTTAGGGTTTAGGGTAAAGGGTTTAGGAAGTCCTTGCAGACTCCAAGACCCGGAAACCCTTAGACTGCCTGACAGGGCCGCGCTTCAGAACTGTCCCCCTCAATGCTTCCGCTTGTGGCCCAACCTTTCAATTCAACAGTCTCTACGTGAAGAAAGACGCGCAAGATGTTTGTAAGGCGTAGTGTTCTGCATTGCGGGTTTTGACACAAACGAAGAGATGCTCAATGCTCTATGGAGTGTCCCTCGAAGAACGCATCTCGCTGAAGTCCGGTCTTCCTGGAGGGACCAAAGCTTGCACGTCTCGCGAAGGAAGACATGCCTGCGGTGCTGCCATCCGTAGACCTGGGATCGCGAGGGCTCTCCTATTTTTCCCCCACAAACACCCCAGTCAAATCTCGCCGTACTGTCCTTCTTGCAGGAAGCACGGGGAAAACAAGAAATCTTTATGTTGCTACTATGATGCCTTCTTGAGTAAGACATCTTCGGACGGCAGCTCGTCTTCCGCCTTGAGAGGGCGCAAAGGTTCGCCATCAACGCTCAACGGGAGATGAAGGTTCAGAAGATCTGAGGGCTCGTGAAGAGCAAAAATTGCGCGAAGGCCTCCTCGGTTGTTTTGTGTTTTGTGTTTTTGCAGCTTTCAATAGGTCCTTGTTTTGAAGCCCGGAGCGCCGGGCGTGCTTACATGTGCTTCCCGGCAGCATCGTTATTTCCTAACATGCTTGTTGAATGACTTCATATCTGGTTGAAGGGCTTTCTACTTGCTGAAAGCGTTCATGACACCTCCACGTGCTTAGTAAGGTTGCCTTTGTGAAGGCCATAAGAAGGAGCTCATTTTGTGGGCGGAGGGGTCTTGTAGAAATTTGCAAATGTAAAGGCCGAAAGACTGTACAGAAGGGGCGATCAAGTGCGTTTTGTTCATCCTTTCCCGCTTCTGTTTTTGGCTACCAATGTCCCCAATACTTGGGATCTCTAGTGCCTCTCAATCGTTCATTGCCAACCTTTTCTGGACACCATTCTTCACATTTTCAAATCCTTTTTGCCTAGGTTTGGCTTCTAACATTAAGCCCTGAACCCTGAACCTTGAACCCTGAACTGCCCACAAGCCCCAACTCTCCCCCGATCCGGCTCAAGCACGTGCCCCCCACCAGCAACACTGATGGGGAGCCATGCTTCTGGATGACTCTGCGAATTTCCATAGGAACGGCCACCTGGCTTCTGATTGTCCGAGGCTGGTTCGGGCTTGAGGGTTTCGGCATTAGCCTCTAGTGTTCTAGGGGCAGGCGTGGCCCAAACTCTAACAAGCTTGACAACCCTCATATGACATAGTATAATATCATATAATGTAATACAATATAATATAATATAATGTAACATAATATAATATAACTGCTTGAGGATATAAAAACCGCAGCGTCGGCATCCAAGGTGGCTCTTTTGGGCCACCTGCTGCTAGTCGCAAGCACCTGCTTGCCTGATGCCATTCCGGCGGCACAGCGGAAAAACGTCACGGATGCCCTAGGCCACGCGAGGGAGTCGTCAACCCTAAACGAAACCTTAATCAAAACCCTAAACCGAAACTCTGTCCGCAACACCCCCCCCCCTTCAACTCTTTGCTCTTTCATGCGAAAAGGTTGTTTTGTTTTTTTTTTGGGGGGGGGTTCAGGGTTTAGCTCGCAGGGTTTGCCTGAAGAGGGAGCCTCTGCCCCAAGCCCTTGAGTTCTTTAGGGTTTAGCTGGTGTTTGGAAGTTTGGCCTTTTTGGAGTGGGTTAAGGGACGGGAAACCCTCAGCAAATTTGCCCTCAACCTTCTTTGTCATAGTTGGTAACACTTTGAATTTTAAGGGTACTTAAACTCAATAAGGTACTGAAATGGAAATTTTGAATACTATCCCAACCATGAACTAGCCTTGTTGCCAGGAAACAGCTATCCCATCGCCGTGCCTTGGGCCCCGACAGCAAGCTTTTGGGCTTGGAGAGTTCTTTGAGGTTCAAGGTTGTTCGGTCGGGGCAGAGGCTTAGAACCTTAAACCCTAAACCCTCAACCCCTAAACCCTCAACCCTGAATCCGGAATCCTGAACCCTTCACCCCGCCCCCCCCCCCCCCCCGCCCCCCGCCCGCCCCCCCGCCCCCCCTGCCCCATATCGGCAACATACCGGAAGCCAGCCGACTCTTCAATTTGGGTTCAGGGTTCAGGTTCAGGGTTCAGGGTTCAGGGTTCAGGGTTCAAGGTTTCGAGCTCCTCTACCCTCTTATCGCGCTGCAAAATAAGCACCTTCGCGACCCTGAAGCTTTGAAGCCTTGGAGCCCTGAAGCCCCCTGCACCCCAAACCCCAGGTCCTGCGGCCCTCGTGGAATTCGGGTCGCGCCTTCTGGCGGAAGTTGCTGAACTTGCGATGACCGGATGACCTCCAAGTGTAGCTTGGGGTTTTGGGGGGATAGGGTTTTCACCATCGTGGGCTATGTGGTCGGCATTTTGGGTTGTGTGGTCGGGTTCCCCAGCTTTGTCAGGATCATAAAGGCACCACTCCGTGAATACGAGGTCGTAAGTCCGAAAAGCCACGCCCTATATTCTGAGGCACGCGCCCTGTATTCCACGGAACCCCACACCCCAAACCTTCAACCCGAACTCCCAAACACTAGCCCGAGGGGGGTGCGGGTTCGTGGTGCAGGGTGCGGTTCGCACCCCGCACCCCGTACCTGCACCCGATTTAGCGAAACATTTCCACGCTTTAGCGATGCAATGCTTCGCTAAATGGTGGGAATGTGTCGCTAAATCGGGTGCAGGTGCGGGGTGCGGGGTGCGGGGTGCGGGGTGCGGGGGTGCGGGGTGCGGGGGGCGGGGTGTCGGGGTGCGGGGTGGTGGCGGGGTGCGGGGTGCGGGGTGCGGGGTGCGGGGTGTGCGGGGTGCGGGGTGCGGGTGGGTGCGGGGTGCGGGGTGCGGGTGCGGGGGGGGGTGAGGTGCGGGGTGCGGGTGTGCGGGTGGTGCGGGGGTGCGGGGTGCGGGGTGCGGGGTGCGGGGTGCGGGGTGCGGGGTGCGGGGTGCGGGGTACGGGGTACGGGGTGCGGGGCCGTGCGGGGTGCGGGGCCGTGCGGGGTGCGTGGTGCGGGGTGCAGAGAGCGCGGGGTGCCGGGGTCGGAGTGCAGGTGCAGTGCAGGGTGCGCACTGCTGCACCTCAACCCCGCGTCACTGCAACCACCTGCACCACTGCACCCCGGCACATGCACCCCGCCAGCTGCACCTCCGCACCCCACCGCCGGCACCACTGCACGGCACCCTGTTTCTATGCTTGGCATCCATGCGACAGAGCATTGCTCTTAAAGTTTGGCAACCTTAAGCCTTAAACCTTAAGCCTTAAACCTTAAACCTTAAACCCCAAACAAAAAAAGCCAAAAGCCACAGGCCCGAAGATTCAATGCCATGTGGGCGTTTGTTCCCCCCAAGCCCTGTCTTAGCCGAGGCCAACACCGATCTGCTGAAGATCCTGATTCAAGAGGTCCACTCAAACTTTATACTTTAAATCCTAAACCTAAACCCTGAACCCCAAACCCTAAACCCCCAACCCTAAACCCTAAACCCTAAACCCTAGACCCTGGAGCCTAGACCCTAGACCCTAAACCCTAAACCCTAAACCCGAAACCTTAAACCTTAAACCCGAACCCTAAACCCCACGCGTTTGTGAGGTTTGGGAATGGAGCTTTTCTTGCTACCTCTGCCGAAAATCCAGAAGTCTTTAAACACTTGCCTGAACCCCAAACCCTAAGCCCGAAATCTAAGCCCTAGATCCTCAACCCTAAGACCGAAACTCTTAAGCCCTGAATCCTATGGGCACTTGCTGGGCCAGAGATTCCAAAGAACGAACTTTCGGACTTATGTTTGTGAGTGTCAGATTCGGGAGTTTGCGAGAATATGGGACCCCTATATTATTCGGATTCCCTAAACGTAAAGACCCCAAAAAGGTACCCCTAATTTCGGAAACCCCCATTTCAGGGGTGTCAGGTTTGAGAGTTGAGGGGTTAAGCGCCACTGCCTGCGTTGAGTTGCGCGCTGAGGGGTCGGACATAGGAGTGTGGAATGGTATAGGGTTTAGGGTTTGGGGTTTAGGGTTTAGGGTTTAGGGTCTAGGG